ACTAATAACTGCCAAACCTTTTTTTCTATTAATCCAGAGACGTGTATACACACCTCAGCAGCTGTAGCGTCATCACACCACTGGATGTACAACTGTAAAGAAGAGAGGAGATATTGATTACAGTTGTGTGTAAGTTATGTTGTTTGAGCTATGTGTGTTTTGTTACCCTGCAGTGAGTGTACGTGTGTGTGTGTACCTCAGCAGTGAGCAGCATGTTGTTGACCAGCTCCATATACGCTTTCATTTCAGCTCTCTGAATATCATCTAAGCCATCACTCAGAGAATGACCCTGAACACCCAAACACACAGAGCATATAAATGAATCTTATATTTCTGACAAATAAGGAGAATAAGAAAGTAAAGTGATTTCCTAACAAGTGATATGCCTAGAGAATTACGTCAATGACAACTTGAGGTGATAAAATCTCTTGATAATAACAACTTTGAGAGCTGTGTTACACACCTTAGCTTTGGTGAACTGCACGATCGGCCCCAGTTCTGACACCACCTGGTTTCCTACATGGATAAAGGGAATCTTACCTATGGAGAGACAACCAAAAAAATAGAAAGAGGGAAGCAGACCATTAAAAATCATTGCAGTCACTTTCGAAGGAGCAACACCAGCGCTTATAACCACAAAACTCAAAAGGTCATATCTAGTCTGAGACCTCATAATCTGAAAAAGAAGTAGTGCAATAGACCAGGCCACAAAGACTGACAAGTACATACAAGTTATAATATTGAATTTCCAATTAAAGATTGAATCTGAATAGCTGCCCATTTCTGAACTACCACAGAGATTGATATCTTTGCCGATGCATAATGTATGTTACTATTGTTACTATTGACTAATTTTTGCATAGCATGACAGCATGGCAAGAGTAAATCCACCTGTGCAGCAGCATGTGTACTGACCAGAAGGTGACATGTATTCAGCATTTGCTCTGTAAGCCACCTGCACTGGTAGACCACACATCCTGAGGTAGGTCTGTACGGGAGAGAAACAGGACAGCGTCAGTTAGCGCCGAAACAATTCACTGATAAGTGAAACAATTAATTAATAAGCAAATCAATCAACATAAAGTTGAAAACTGATGATCTCAACAAGTCATACATGTTCAGAGGTGTCGTCAGGCGGGCGGAAAAAAAACTACCCACACAAACTATGTTCACGCCTATGCTGATGTGTTTGCTGAGAACACACACAAAGAGAACTTCACCTGAACAGCAAGAGATGAGGCACAGTCCGACAGCAGAATCTGATCCTCTGTAAAGACAACACCACAATAATGTCAACAAATATATGCCTCTATAGAGAAAAATTCAGGTTGTGTCTCCATTTCAAACAAACACAGACTTACCCTTCAGCGGTTGGTACAAGGTTGCAGTTTCAGGCCAAGGCTCAGCAGCTGTCAATGTTAAAAACAGACACACAGGCAGACAGAGAGAGAGAGAGAGACGACCAAACTGTTATGTTGCTGGGGAATTTAACAGTTTATATTCTTCTATTTAATTGTGCAACACATTTATTCATTCATTCAAATTAAATAAATGGCATGTTAATTCAAATCTAACTGTACGCTGACAGACACACCCCATAGAGAGGCACAGACTCTGTACTGTATGTCCCCATGTTTAGTTTAACTTCATCGGACGAATGGTGAGTATGCAGTATGCACACCCATCAGAAGGCAGGTTAACTTCTCAGCACCTGTTCGGGACGTTTCACATCAATGCAGGGCGTGTATAAAGTAACAAAACAGGTCAATCCCATTCAACATATACAACCCATGTCAAGATCCAAGATGGCACATAACTTCTTCAGTCCCACAGCGCTCACTGCTGCCGCTGAAGGCCAGACGCGGTATTACAGCAGCCCGTGGCTCTACATTCATTGACTCGGTTGTAATACAGCTTCCAGCCACCAGAGGCAGCACTGCAGGCTGAGCGAGGATCTCACACTGGTGGTTGAATTTATTGTCATTTCATTATGGAGTAATGGGTGTTTTAGTATGTTGACACAAGGCTGTCACCGACGTCAACCCCCCCTGAACTGTCCCAGCATGAATTGGCTGTCCTCCCTTAGGTGTGTTATTCCAATGTTAATCCAATAAGCACATTTATTAGCGGTGTTTACCTAAAACGGGTGCTACACTTGGTTATCCAGAGGACTCACAGTGTGACAGTGCTGTATGAGAGCTAACATAACCGAGCAGAAAAGGTGGACAACGACGGCCATAGTTACATTTACAGTCGTATAATCCTGCTCCGCTAAACCACAATGGTCGCTTAAATGCAATTAACTAACATTCAGAAACGTCTACACGGCTGTACACGTTAGCTGATGTTAGCAGGCTGAAGCTATCTGAATACACAGTAACAGCAGCACCGGGGAAAGTCTACACCTTAACGTTACCTGCCATCTGCGACACGAAGGCCTCGGCCGCAAGAGACATCGTGTTGTTGTAATGTCCTTACTGCTCAATAATAATTCAAATGAGAGATAAGGTCACTTCCACTGCAGGCAAGTTTAAGGGCAAGGGCTTGTTCTGAAGTCACCGTATGGTCCGCCCACGATTAATGTCCCGGGGAGTACATTGTTTTGGTTTTTTAGTTCCCCTTTACGCTTGAGCTGGGAACAACTGTCTGCTGTAGTGTGGGATATCTAAACTCATGATATACTCGCTTATCTGTAGGTGTAGTGTTGTCTCTGCAGTCTGTGGTGTGGTGACAATGTTTACAGGGAGATACAATAACAGAAACACACAGTAATGGAGTTCAGAACAGTGCCACAGAAAATGATCGCCTTGTGTTTGTCATGCTTTTGAATCATATTTTTCCCACCATCTCAACAACTTAACATTTTAAAATTGTGTGAAAAGCAGTGTTGTTTGATGTTTTTGTTTGTTTGTTTTGCATATTTTTGTACTGGTACCTTTTATTTTCCCTCCCTGATACTAATTGAATTATGTCAATCAAGTCTGATGACATCACACATAGTCCTAATTCAGTAGAGTGTACAGCTACTCACAAATATTTCAAAGTCAAAGAGATCTGACCCAACTCTGAGAGATGGAGATTTTCTTATTTCATGCATTTCTCTTTCAGGCTGCAGTACATTGTGCAACCAGCCGGGGGCGTTCCTGCTTCACCACAGTCAGACTGCAGAAGGGCAGGTTGGTGTGATACACACTGGCAAACATGCATAACGTCCACCAAGTGCAAACACATGCATCTGGGGCATTACAAAATGTGATTGGAGATGTTTACAAATAATGGGACAATATTAGCTGTTTGGTGTAAATTATATGTAGAAATAAAGCCTGTTTTATCAATAATAAAGCTCTAGTCATATTTTCAGTTTTTTACGGTTTCTGTAGCATAAACCTTTAAAAATAGGCTATCACAAAATATATAATTAACTTAGTATATTTACAACGTGGGATCAGAGTAATACATGCCACGTTGTTTAGTGGTTTACCGAATTTCCCACAGCAGAGCAAAACAAGTAAAGTACCCATCAGTTCTCTTTGGCTACTGTCTCCAGTTACAGACACACAGAGCTTCACACGCGTTTCCTTTGTGGCTGAATATTTGGACTTTTGTTGGCCTGACTCGTCAGCAATGTGGTGGATCTCCAGCATCTAATAGATATTCCATGTTGGTGTATGTCAGTCCCTTTCCTGCACATTTAACCCCGTCTCGACCGGAAGCCACCAATTAATGCCTCTCATTTCCCTTACATCCCACACACACCCACACCCACACACACACACACACACACACTCAAAGAGAGAGGATTTCTTTCGCCTAAAAGCACCCTGCTCTGTGCGTAAACAATGCGTAAAGCGCATATGGAGACTAAATGGATACTACCTTTTAACCATACAGAGACGGGTGATTTTTGTGATGCAGTACGATTTATGTCTGCCATGGATAAAGGTCTCAGGTAATATTAAAGTCTGCGTAATCATATTTGACAACTTTACATTTCATAGGTAAACATACCTCGCGCTTTGAATATTTTAACGCAACAGCAGTTCCCTGATTCAACCCTGCCCCCCAACATCACGTCTTTTATACTACTACATCTCTGTCTTGGTTTAAGGCAGCAGTTAAAGCAAACTGTCGCTGCAGTGATTAAACGCTGAGGATCGCCGTTTATCCGCCGAATAATTCGGAGCACATTTTCACATTTTAAATCCTCCCACGGGGGGAAAATCCTCACATTTTAAAAAGCTTCCCAGTTGAGACCTCACGGACTAAATATCTATCTTGGCTCACCTCGAGGTGCTTGACGCCCCGTTGAATTATGACTGTAACAAAGATCGTGTATGGTACAGAGGATCGCTCTGGTAAAGTGTAAACTTTTCCCACGTGCATTGACAGTAAAAGGGAGACTCTTTGTTTGCAGAACGGTTGATTCTATATTTTAAGATAAAGATTATATTATATATATATATATATATATTATTTTTATTCATAAACCACGTTTGGAGTAATTTTACGCAATTTAAATCTTCACCGTCCCATCACCCCTTCATCTAGGGATTTTGATTAATAATTGTTTATATTGTGTAAATAAACCAGCGCCTTTTAAATCTGTTCCCGTTTTGTTGTTTACACACAAATATAGTAGGCTATAGGTAGCGATAATGCACCTTAATACAGGTTATCAGTGTTAAAGTTCAGTGTATAGTTAATTTGCCCAAAAAGAGAAAAACACAAAATAAAAGTTAAAGATGAATGGCAATAATATCTTTTGTCCACGATAATGGTGTAGTGAAAATCTGATTAAATAAATACGTTCACAACATACACAGATCGTTTGTGTGTGAGAGAGAGATAAGAAAATATTCTCAGTTTTGCTCTTTTGCATTTTGAAACATTTTTAATTTTTTACCATCTAAGTATTTTATCAAAACATTTCCACATATAAAATTCTTACAGAAGTTTTTCTTTTTTTCAAAGAGGAACACATACAAAAAAAGAACAGAGATGATGCTTGCTACAAAGAATAAAATATGCTTCTAAATAACGTAAATAAAAATAAGTACTGGCGTAGGCTACATAGTCAATAGCATATTAAACTGGAATCGAAGAGTGAACATATTCTTTGAAAATGCAACATTATGCTGTTTCAGAGAGGATAACCCTTTTTCACCCTCTCTGTGCTGAATCAAACAACAAACGTTTCAGAAAGTTCTGTTCTTTAAACCCTGTACCCCTGAGAAAATACGTTGGATTTACAGTCAGCGTCGTGCATCAAAAACATGTACCTCCAATTTGGCTGCTTTTAATTTACTCCCCGTGCGTACAAATGTATGACTTCTCCCCCAACTTATTGAAAAGTTCATTCACCTTTTGGAGATAAAAAAAATGTCTGCACAATATGGCTACTTATCCTACTAAATATGCATTGTTTTTGGATGTTCCTTTATGTACAAAATAAAAGCTAAAACATTATTTGTCCAACTATCCTGCAAGTCAGCCGCCGAGCATTTGGCGCTCCTGCTCTTCTGTTTAACCCATTTAAGCGCCAGGTTGTGGAAACAACATTTTGGTAATGTGCATATTCATAAGTTAGGCTATTTCATCTTTTAGGTAGCTATTATAAAAACCCTGTATTATGTTTACCCTGTAGAAATAAAACCCTGTTTTCTCCAAAAAAAAAGACCCAATCTCTCCTCGTTCACCATATGGGGAGAGTTTGGCAAAACTGCAACCAACAGGCACCATGCATTTGCGCCTTTAACATCGGATGTCTAAATATGAAACAATTCCCTAATTTCACCAGAGAGATGTCAGACCATCTACAACCTTGACGTTTACCTAAATATAAGACTCGAAGACATTCATTATTAATTAGATATCAGACTAAAAATGGATGCAACCTCTACAAAACAGAATGGTTTAAAAACACTTCAAAGTAAACGTTGAGGGGGGAAATGCATTAACGAGTTTATAAAGCCTCATTTAGGCCTACAGATGGGTAGGCTATGACACAGTTTGAATTGTTTCCGGACTGCAGTCACCCTGGATCCATTTAGCAACATGAGTTTTGGAGAGTGAAGGTGCTAACATGGCTGCCTCTGCCGGCCAGCCTCCGCTCCGCCGCTCTGTGTTCACACAGTTATCGCTGCCTTCACGCTGCTGTCGCTACTGCTGCTGCTGCTGCTGCTGTTGTTGTTGTTGTTGTCCGTTGCTTTCTTGTTTTTGCTCCTTCCTTTGGTGTTGGGCAGCTTGTTGTCTTTCTTCCAGCGCATGCGCCGGTTCTGGAACCACACCTTCACCTGCCGCTCGGACAGGCAAAGCGCGTGGGCCACCTCGACCCGCCGGCGGCGCGTGAGGTACCGGCTGAAGTGGAACTCCTTCTCGAGCTCCAGAACCTGCTGGCGCGTGTAGGCCGTCCTCAGCCGCTTGGGCTCCGGACCCACGTGGTTCGGGTTAACTGTAAACAATCAATAAATGACAAAGAAAGGCAGGTCGTTTATTTTGTGCTCCGATTCGGTTTTAGCCTGCTGCTTTTATTTTGTTAATCCGTTTTGTTACTTTGCTATTAGTATTGGTGTTGTAAGGAAATATGACACTAAATTAATAAACTTTTTTTGGACATTAGTGCTGTTGTTATCATGTGGCTTTTTAGCGATAACCTTTAATTTGTGGTTGACTGGGAACAGGTCCAAGAAACGATCTTTACTTTTAGCTTGCAGCTTTTTGTTCTGCCGGGCATTGCACACCGCAGACACACAATTTCTGGTGCATACACACACACACACACACACACACACACACGCACGCAAGCACGCTGTGGCAGGGCCATAAAACTTTATAGGGGTTGTAATTCTCCCTGACTCTCACCGAGATCATAAATAACTCACCAACAAAAAACGGTGCTCACAAATGGACAAAACACTAAGACAGAAAGACAGAAATAAAGAAAGAAAGAGAGAGAGAGTTCCCCTCGCAGAATAAACACATAAACATGGGAATTTAAACAGTCTTAACCGAAATGAAGGAATAATGAAATGGAGAGAGTGTGACTTAGAGATAGAGAGATGAGAATCTTCATGCTGTCTCACCATGAGCGATGTGCACTTTCTTCATCCACGGGTAGACAACAATAGGCGGCTTGTCTTTTCCCTGGCAGGCCGTTTTCCTCTGCACCTGAGCGGGTTTTGCACAGGTCATCCAGGCCTGGCACTGCAGGTCACCCACGGGGAACCTCTCCTTACCGGGCGCGTCTGTCTCTCTGTAGCCGGGGAAGGGCACACCTTGGTGCTGCGAGTGGTCCTCTCCATCCTCCCGGTGGTGCGCCTGCAAAGAGTGTTGATAGCCGGTTTGTTGTGGTGTGTATGGAGGCGGAGGGGGCTGCACGGGATAGCCCCCTCCATAACTACCACTGTCCTGGGGGTTGTTATAATACCCCCCTTGGTCACTAAAATTACTGTAATCTTCTTCACAAGGCGGGAACTGCGGCTCAGCATATTTACAGCTCACCACGTAGGACTCCATGATTGATTTATAGCGAGGCTGGTAGGAGAATACTAATTTTTCTTTCTCTCCCCTCTCTCTGTCTCTTTTTCCCCCTCTGGCATCAAGCCATCCTGCGGCTGTCAAATAGACGGACGGCCGCGCGGGCCACGTGACCCTGTGGCCAGCCAATGAGAGGCGGCACTTCGGGTTGTTTATGTCAGACGTAATGGGATAATTTGAAGGGGGAAAAAATGTTCATTATAGGACTAATGAAGTTTTGCCGGCGTGGAAAATGGTTAAGAATAGACGTTTGTGGACTGATAAATAACCTTAAGAATCCTAAAGACCACTGCCACAAGGAGTCTAATTATCACTAAAAATGAATTGGATGTACTTTAGTAGATATGTATAATAGTTTTTGAGATAATTCCTGTCTGTCTCTTATCTATCTATTTATCTATCTTTTTCATAATGCCGCTGCATGAATAAAGACATGGTTGGTGTATTATTATTTAGGGCAAAAACAGACCACAAAGAGACAAAAACAATGTTAAAATGCACATTATAATGTTCTATGCCATCAGGTCATATTGAAAATTGCCGTGATTATAATCTAAACTCAAATCCTTTCACTGGCAGGCCTGACAAACAGATGTGCACAATAAAAAAATCTATAAAACTGTGGCACATCATAAATATATTCAGGCAGGATCTAAATGAGACACTGTAGATTGCGGCTCAGGGCCATGTTTTTAATCTTTTCAGTCGTCCAGAACCAGGTTTAGTATTGCCATTAGCCACCATTCCCAATGCCTGCTACGTTGCCACTGGCCGGCTGGTAGCTTGGTAAACAAACTGGCTGCTTGTTTACCAACTTTGGCAGGCTGATCCAGCTGCCCATTATTCTGCCCTCAAAACCAGGTGGCGACAAAAAGTGAAAAAAAGTGGATTTACCAACTGCTGTAAAACAGATCAAATGTTTCAGAATAACATACAAAGGCTGTTTCAACCACCATGAAGCCATCAGTAACAACGTTTAAAACAGTTCAGTCAGCGTTCTCTCTGAACGAATCATTCATTTTGATATCACGGTTATTGCAATTCTATTTAAACTCACAGACTTTTTCCAGAAGTAAAGCATGTATGCCATACCCTCAATAAAAGAGCCGCGGACTCACTGAAAGAGCTAAGTCACCACCAAGGTCACATACACTAATTAGAATGATGATTGCAGGCCTGAGCAGATATGATGTAGCTATGATGGAGAGTGTACAAGCGCATCAATACATGGGCCGAAACTGCTTTTCACACCACTCCACCCTGCATTGAGCTGGTTGTTTATCAACAATTCTTTCATTGGTTTAGCCTTGTTACACCGATTGCCAGTATATGGACAAACATTTTAGGTTTCTTTCCAGAGGCGCAGACCCCGCCTCCTGGCCTATTTCGTTCTGGTAAATCACTCTCCAACTGGTGCTACAAGATAGATTTCCGCAACCCAGTATCCACCGTTGTCCACATTACACTGGTTTGGGGCTGCCAGGTCTTCTTTAGGGCAAACAGTCTTGCTTACTTACGTAATCACACGTTACGTATGAGAATTTAATGTGGTCGTGCTTTAATGAGTTATTGAGTCAAAATGCTACATTACTACAGCAACTATTAAGGTTTCAATAAAATACACAATTGATTCATTACTAGTTTGAACAAGAGAAACATGCACAGCTTAAAAAATGGGAAGGTTTTGGTTGGAACGTACTTTGTGGTTAAATTTATTTTTTGTGGACAAGCACCACAGACAAGAATATGCTTATAAATGAGAGATGCATGAACACACAAATCTTGCGTGTGTGAGGTATGGTGGTGGATACTGGGTTGGAAATCTATCTTGTAGCACAGTGGAGGAGTGATTTACAAACAAATAGCAGGAGCGGGGTCTGCGCCCTCTGGAAAAGAAACCTAAAAGTTTGTTCAGCTATACTGGCAATGGTGCTTAACAAGCTAGCAACGCAATGAAAAAATTGGTGGATAATCACACCAGCTAATGCCAAGCAGATAAGTGGGTGTGAAAGCAGTCGGCCATGTATTGATGCTGTTGTGACCACTCTCCATCATAATACATCATTCTGGCCCTCAGCACGAATATTCTTTCTAATTAGGGGTATGCTGACCTGGTGGTGGACGTTGAGTAGGCATACTGTTCTAATTACAGTGAAAGTGCTCACGAGGCTGTCTCACTTCATAAATTAGAAGGTAGCAAATGGACCATGTCAGCACGTGCTGCCATAGGGTTGAAGGGGTATTAACCTGGAAAAAGTTCGCCCGTGAGTATTTATTAATAGAATTGCAATATAACCGTGATTCAAAATGACATGATTTCGCTTCCAGTCAATCGAATAAACAACCTCGAACTTTGTGTTAGGATGCTCCTAAACAAGGTTCGACATTGACTGTTGAGTGGTTCTTCATTGATAGGGAATGATCTAAGCCCATATAGTTGGTGAACTGTATGACTATTTCTAGAACCAACATTATCAAGATCTTAAGAAGTCGTGATATTATACAGCGAGATATGAAAACCGCGGTGAGTTGCACAATCTCTATGTAGGCTCCACAACACTTTTTTCTGTCAGCCATCCTAGGTTTGGAGGGCCAGAATAATGGCCGAGTCTGGCTCACTCCGCTTCCTCATCTAGTTTTGGCATACATATTTATCAAACAAAGCTCCTACCTATTATGATGTGGCTTACATACCTTACCACGTCGTCGATGTTAAGTAGCACAAAACAGTCGAGATCTATTCCGAGCTATTGTTAGGTTGAGGAAAGTATTGAGCTCGTGACTGAGCATGGTTAGACATTTATTTTAAAACTTACCACCTATGCAGCTTGATGCTGAGCAACGCTCAGGTGAAAAGAAAATGTGTGAAAGTCACCAACTGCCCTGACTGAAGCGCACTTACACAAGGTGTCTCGATGTATTTTACTCATGTAAGGTTATGCGACTGCTGGAATTATCCCTGGCAAATCATTTATTGATGGTCCACACGGCTCCTTCATTGAAGATATCAAAACAGCCTGCTTTTGGGTGTGGCCTGCTCATATGAGTATATAAATATGGCAGGATTAACTATTGACGTTGCACAATCTAGTCTGTGACTCCGCTGGCCTATAGAACCTTGGAAGGATTCTGAGTGTTTACAACCCTTCATTTTCTCAAATCAGGCGAATTGTCATCATTATTACTCTTATATCACTCGCACAGCTTGCATCGGCTTCTATATAAATATGTTGGCAACATTATAGATTGTGCTATCTCTTGATTTCATTGACCATTTTGTTTTTGTCTCTTTTATATTGCATCGGCTGTTTTTGCCCCCCTAACATAATCATACCACTACGAATAGCATCTCTCTCTTGTGAGTTGGAGCAAACACTTGACATTTATTAAGAAGCAACCAGTAAAGCGCTTAAGGTAGTATTGTGACAACTAATCGCCCTCTCTCGCCAATTCTCGAGTCTCGATCGTCTCTGGAATTGGTATCTTGATTTCCTCAGCTAGTTTCACGCATGGGACTAAATATCGCACTCGAAAAGGTGCAAAAGGTAGAGAGAGAGAGTGGTGTATTTGCGAAGGCCATGTATTGCATGAAAACGATGAGGAAAGATTGTCAGGTCCTGCACCGTACGATGAGCTTATCTGGGAGGAGACACTAGCGTAACTCTCAGTCTATGTTACTGATCTCAATTTGTTTCAGGTGAGTTTCTAATTATTTACATGACACAGGTGACTCATTGTGAAGAAATCAAAAGAGCTGGTTTATAAACAGCGGAGCCATATAAGTCTTATATATTCTATCATGACGCTATGTCAGATATCTTATTGGACTCTCTCGCAGTGTATACCACTTGCACCGACAGCTAGGAGAGCCTCTATATGAAACCTTGCCAGCACAGCCAATGGGCTCCAATAAGTGCCACACATTATTTGATCCATTATATTCTCCTCTTTCTCTCTCTTATATATTAGGACTAATTTTATAATCCATGCTCCACTAAATCAAGACTGTCTGACCTAAAAATCTATTCATATATTTGTCTCTAATGGCATGAATTCCAGCTAAGAACAAACATCTCGCAGGCATGACAATTAGAGATAGGAGTTTGTATGTATATCTTGAACTCGCTCTAGCATGACAATCCGAGGTATCTGACAGCGATCCTTTGCTCTAAGCGATAGAAGCTTGGCTGTAGAGCGGAACTAATTTTAGATAGGCAAATCCACACATGGCAAAACGGGTATACGCGGGATTTATTGGGGTCGATTCCTCACTGGCAAAGACTATTCTATGTGTAACGAACCTTGTTTCGTCGTTCTATATGATAAAGAGCATCTTCTTTGTAAGAATGATTTAGCGCTACTAGCTGCTAGGTCGCGGGAGGTCAATCAGAATCGGATTCGTCTGTTTCATCTGTGAAACCTAGCGAACATACGCAGACGAGTGTGCCACGCAGGGGCTCGAACATGTGGAGAACGGAAGAGCGCGAACAAATTATTCGACGAATTTGGATGGTTGTCACAGCGCGAGAATAATAGCGAGTCGCGATCCTCCCCATTTTTTCTACTCTTGAGCTCTCTCTCCTCTCTTTGTCTTCGTTTCTGGTGGGAACTGGCGTAGCATTTGTCGAGCAACAATATCATACTCACGTCTGGGTAGTAATTCTCTCACATAACGTTAGAATATAGTGAGTCCGAGCATAATCGCGTTCATTGTAGCACGACGCGCTAATCTATGTCCTACTCTCACCGATTCCTGATACTATGCTTTTTCTGGCTCATTTTTTTAAACAAGCATACGATCAGACCCCTCGCGCCACACCGCACTGCCTCTTCTCTCCTCCCTCTCCTCTCTCCTCTCCTCCCCACACTCCCTCCTCATAATTTCAATATATACCAGTTATGTGGTTTGATTACTTGATTAAGCGTGGAGAGACTCAAGCTGGCACGACCTCGGCGAATATCTTGATCTCCTCTCTGGAGTCCTAACAACAAATCACAGAACTCGTAGTCACACTGCTCTCTCTC